ACTTTTCAAAAGGTTTCAGCTACTTTTGTTTTTATTGGACATATGATTTTAAACGAAACACTCTTCATATTTTTAGGTGTCGTTGTTAAACGTACTAGCTCATTGGATAAAGAAGAATTTATTAAAGGTAAAGAAGTCATACTATCAGCTGGTACAGTTGGAAGTGCTCAAATACTTCTTCTCTCTGGAATTGGTCCTCGAAAAGAATTACAGAAACATCAAATACCCGTGATCGTTGATTTGCCTGGTGTTGGTAAAAATTTGCAAGATCATATGACGACTATTCTAGTCTATCTGACTCAAATACCAACACTTTCAACTCGTGATTTGACACCCGAAAACTTACAAAGATGGGCGACTCAAGGAAAAGGTCCCTTAACTTCATCTGGTGGTGAATCACTAGCGTGGTGTCAATTAAATGGAAATAGTAATTCGAGTATAGATTCAATTTTTTTCTATTAGCTTACATTGTCACCGTTAATTATCTGTTCTTCTAGATAAAACACAAGTACCTGATATCCAAATACATTTCGCCCCGTTTACAGCTGACGTTGAATTTTTTCGAAACTCTAATATCAAACCGGAGGTTTATGAGCAGTATATGAAACCACATCTAACTGATGGATCACAATGGACTGTTGTATACTTGCCTACGCTTCTACATCCCGAATCAAAGGGTGAAATTACACTTGCAAGTCGTGATCCTCTCACACATCCAATTATCAATCCAAATTATTTAGAGGACAAAGAAGATGTTCGTAAATTGGTTGAAGCATGTAAACTAGTTGAAAAAATTTGCCAAACTGAACCACTGAATAGTGCACTCAAGTCAATAGCAAATGAAATGAACGGAGACGAAGCAAGAGAAAACGAAGATCAGTTTTGGGAATCGTATGTTCGCAAGTATACTATTACAATCTGTCATCCGATTGGTACGTGTAAAATGGGAAAAGAAGAAGATCCCATGGCAGTTGTAACGCCTGATACACGAGTAAAAGGCGTAAGAGGTCTACGTGTGGTTGATGCAAGTATTATGCCAAGTATTGTTTCGGGCAATACAAATATTCCAACAGTTGCAATAGCCGAGAGAGCAGCAGATTTAATTAAGAACAATGATTAAAAGAGATTGTGCTAGTTTTTTTAGTACTAAAATAAACTAGATTAATCTTAGAGATTTGATGATTTTTAAAAAGACTTGGTGAGTTGAATGTTTCCCTTGTTGTCTCTCATTTTGGTTCACTTAATACTTATTTAGACATATACGCTTTTCGTGCTGACATCAGTTACTTTTAATGCATCCTTAATCTTGAACTTGCAAATGATTCAATTTCTTCTTGACAGAAAGAAAAAAGAAACTGTAAAACATATATAAAAAAACCTAACATAAACACAAATTGTGGAAGTAAAGTACAAGTGCGTTCGAGCTCCGTGAGGGTGTGGGTATAGATGTTGACGAAGACAAACCTAACACTCCATCCCAGCCAAGCCGGGTCCCTTCCCAACATTGAACACTATATCGATAATGCAACACATAGAGCATGTTTGAAACGTTGAACATTGGCAACACTTTGTTCAACTGCATAGTGGAACTCATTCCCAATTCCAACACGAGGTAAATTGGCTACATGAGTGTAAGCATAGACATTCAGTCATTGATGCCCCATGTATTCGTAGAGTTCATCAATCAATCTATTAAGCAATACGGAAGCATTATGAATGAGTTCCTGAGATGTTCTGCCAACTCTCTCAGAGTGTTGTTGTTTTGTCGAATGCATCACTTTTATCATTGTCAACGTTGCTCGTGTATGAAATGCACTTGTACTCAATGGAATAAAATGTTGGTTCTCGAATGATATGCTGATATAATCCTATAAGATCAGCTCGATGCAGGTCGAATGAATTTGAAGATTCTCGTAGGTGATTTAGTTGATTCATATCAACATCGTTCAACGATATTCCCCCTCTCCGATACAACAATTGCAGCCAAGTCATAATATTGAGTTCAGAATTCTTACCATGATTGCTCTCGTAACTCACAATTGTCTTGCGTAGAATCAATCTCACATTTTAATCGTCTGAGCAGATTGAGAGAGTTTGTACGGGATTATTCGAGGATTGAAATTATGCTATCCATTAGTTTCGAGAATGGGTGTGGGTGTGGGTGTGAGTGAGCGTGAGTGTGTCTGTGAGATGCATGTTGGTGTTGCTAACCAGAAGGCACACCCTCACACCAACACCGACACACACCCACACACACCCACATCCACACCCACACCCACACTCACACACCACACACACACACACCCCACACCCACACCCTTATTCAACATCTTCCAAGCATTTTCTTTCAGTGTTTGATTTATATCATTTCAAAAAAAGTTCTATTTTCCTTTCGACAATTTTCTGTTGATGTATCCATTGTTAGACATTCCTTAAGTCAATCGGTCGAACGGATGCGACGAGTCCTATCGTTATTCTTTAAGAAAAGTAAAACGTGCTGCTTTCATTGCAAAAAAATCCACAGAGATCAAAAAGAGTTTAACGGACGCACATCTTTTCTCGTCGTCTTTTTGCCGGTAAGACGATGCGCTTGTCAATGGTGTATTTAAGTAGCTGCTTTCTCTTGCGCAGAAATGTTCGATAAACTATCAACGAATCCTGCACTTTGTTGGTTGACATCTGTGGGATTTCTTTTTTCATTTGCCAAAAGCACACCACAACGTCAATACTCAGGTAAAGTGAAGCTGAATCACATAAGAATGTTATGTTATTTCTGTCATTATTGGGAGAACAAGCTTTTGAGACAAAGCTGGAGAACGTAAAAGCAAACAGTGAAATAATATCAGGCGTTACTAATAAAGGACACATTGTCAACATTCGATTACTACATTATGAAGACCATTGCATACAAGATGGTTCGAATTGAACACTGCTTGTATAAGTCACTTTCGACTATCGCGTCATCAATAAATGAGTTGCCATATTACAAAAATTTGATAGAGAAAACAAAAGAAAAATGAGAATTACTTTTCAATAGTGAAACTAAAATCGGAGAATTGTCCGTCACTATTTCTCATATTAGATCGTTCTAGCCATTTGAAAGTTATTTTACGCTTGGAAAACGACTGGATCAGTATGATTCACATGGTGACACTCCCACAGTCGATCTTCTTTCGAACCATTTATAGAAAGGAGCGATGGACACCACCAGCTGCGTGTCAATAGTTGAACTCGTAAAAGACGTTGATAACTCGAATAGTACCATGATTCACAGAGAAAGATGCGAATGATTCTTCTTTCACGGATCAGTGACACTTCACTCGCGAATTCCATTGGACTTGCAATTTTAGTGCCTGTTGTTATTTTAGTAGCCCAAAAATGTTCTAGTGGACGTTATTTCATGCTAATAGTCGTAGTCAACAATTAGATTTCTATTGTAGCAGTGCTGATGGAATATTTGGCCACGCTGTTTGTTTTTTTTTATTAGTCCTCAGCCAATCACCAGGGAATGGTCACATTTTTTTGCGAACAAACGTTTGCTCTGCCTAGATGAATTAAGAGAGAACTTTCGAAGCAGACCGTAGCATGCATCGTTTCTCCGCTGAAAATGATCAACAATTGCCTAAGGCGAATCGTGTTACTTACTTTCACTTTTTTCTTCCATCACGAGTCGATCAATGAGCGAAATGCATTTGAATGCTGTGCCGAATTTCTTTCTGTTTAAAAAAAATGAAGTCTTTTTTTGAGAAAAAAAAATGAGAGAAACATATTTGCTCTTGCTTTTTCTCTCGTTGCAAGAAGCATTTGTATTCATTTTCGCATTTTGTTTTGACAAAGACACATGAGCGCACAAAGTAAGTGCTTTGAAGCTAGTAGTCATCGATCGATTTTCTTATGGATCGGGTTCCTATCATGCTCAATGCTAAGCGATGTGTTAAGCGTTTTGATTGTCACAAAATTACGCATAAGATATGGTCAGAACAAGTATTCTTTGTGAAGTCTTTTTTGCATCAATTGTATTGTAGCGAACACTTTCATAGAAGCATCTAGCGACATGATAATTTATTCTGGACATATTATTTCTTTGTAAGTCATTGACGTAGTTTTTACACGCGTGTTACTTCTTGTTCACATCAACCATTGTAACAGTTTAATGTGCTGTCTAAGAAAAAGTTGTTTTCATTAATGGATACTTTTTTCCTTAAAGAATCAATTTTTGTTGGATACCGCTGGGATTAAGTAAACAAGGACACTAAACGATGAACTGACAAGCCATATCAACTATTATTGACGTTCTATTGAAGAGTAGGCCAGAATGTACATAGTTTATAAACTGACAATTGATTTTGATTCGTTCTCTATTTAGTAGAAGAATCAAATGCAACTTATCTGCCAATGACAAAATGATTATGAATCGTATTTTTTATCTAAAATATAGAGTTTATGGTCAGAAAAAATTTTCGTTGATATACATATTTATGCAATAAAGCTACCCTATTCAAAGTCTATATGGAAAACCGAGCCCATCAAGATACACATCCAAACTTCTCATGGCTTATTGTTTTATGTTGAAAATTTCGGATATCTTTTAAATCTGAAAGTGCCAACAAAAAAATCTAAAGTCGTCAAAGATCATGAAAGATTACATCAATGATCTCAGTTTTTTACATAGATTTTGAATAGGGTAGCTTTATTGCATAAATATTAATTTTTTTGGAAAAAATCTAGAATAGCAGGCAAAATTTTGTTCTTGGCCCAAAATTGACAGACAAAAATGAGTGTTCTTAACAATGAAGCAATATAATAGAAGTTATGCATACTTTTGTGACTGATAACATGATCAATGTAACGAGATAAAATATTAGATTTCTTCGCTCAACCAGCAAAACTATATAGATAGGTTTACTCAGTAGAGCTAGATACATTATACTCGGCACAATTCGAGGTGTTATCGTCAGAGAGTATGTTTGGTTAACGTCAATTTAACATTTTGTCTTTAGTTAGTTTTTAACGCTGAATAGAAAAAAAAGTAGTCTCAAAAGGCAGGAGGAATAATTTATTTCTTTATATGCACCGTGCATATAAAGAAATAAATAATAAGCAGAGAAAATGTTGTTTTTATGTCTTTTTGCTGATGATGATGATTGTTGTGAATATGTTGGTGTTAAGCTCGATGAAATACGTTTAGTACCTTTTGTCGTTGACGATGATGATATATTTGCTCGATAAAATGAAGATATTGGTGCATTTGTAGATATTTGTGATAATGATTGTTGAGATGTTGCTGGTGAAGAAGCTGTCGTTTGATTATTGTTATTACTTTCGACATCATTATTACTATTATTGATATCATTATGCAACATTTGATTTTGCTGATTATGTTTTGTTTTTTTTCACTCATCATAGAACATGTTAAAGATCTTAAATGTTTGTAGAAATTGGTAATTTGAACTTTTTCATCCTTTTTTTTCTTAACTTTATTTTAACACCACATTTACATCTTATTACACCTTCAACAACATTATTATTATCGGTTATAGTTAATGTATAATCAACATCTAGCTTTAATTCTAATTCAACAAAATTAAAATTTTCTTTATTATCTTGTACCCACTTCTTTATTAAATTATATATAAATTCAGCATGACTTTCTTGTGTTAATATCAAGGGGCAAATAGCGGAATCCTGGAATTCTGAGGAATTATTGGGAATCCTAGGGAGTTCTAGTAAGGTATAGGAATCCTGGACTTCAGAATTTCAGGATTCCAGGATTCCGCTATTCACCCCTTGATCGGTAGACTTAATGAAATGTATAGAAAACGAGAGGTTGATGCTAAGAATAACAATTCTGATTATCCATGTTCAGCTCTAAATATTCACCATGTTTTATCAATTGATTAAACCTGTAAGGATTGTTGCAAGTTTGATCAGACTCATCTACTTTCACGAACTTCCGCTAATTTCTTTGATATCACTAGAATTTATTAAGATTTTCCTACAATTGTTTTATTATTGGAGTCTAAATTAGAATCGTACTTTTTTCTCTTAACGTTGAAGAATTATTAGATGATCTGTCATTCGTTGTTGTCAAAGAGACGAAATAACTATCGGTATAAAAAAAAAAGTTATGCCTTCTGGCTTATGGTATTCTTTCACTTTGATTAGATTGACCAACAATTGCGTAATTTTAGAAAGATGTTAGTAATCCCCATAGAATGAGAATGTTGTTTAGCAATTATGTACACCATTTCTTTCGTATACGAGCAATTTCTCATATGTACGATTATTTCTTCAACATCATTTGTTCGGTCGAATCTATGCATAAAGAATTTGCGATTAACCTCGCATTTCTGGTCTCTTCAGGATATCACTAGCAGCGCATTGTATTGCTTCTATGAAACGGTGAAAACTATATTTGCAGTTGCGATCTGGTATGTAAATGCTCCTTCTTATCCTCGTTTTTCTTCTTTTCTTGAGAAATGCTTATCCCTCTCCTCCATTTGATAAAGCCTTCCTCCTTTTCCATATTTTTGTTACTAAAATCAGTAGTGACAGCACACATAAAATACAATTGGAGAGGTTTATGATGTAGTGGCGTCTTAATGATCCCAGGTAAAAATCGTTCGGTACAAATCTATCCAATACGATCAGATTCGACAGAATTCTGTTGGAAGTTCATCGAAATTCAGAAAAGGACTGCTTTCACCGTGTTTTTTTGAGTGCCAATTATCCCGAAACTTTTCTTCAGTCGAATCCAACTGAACGAATACTGTTCTGCGATGCCACCAACTTCAGACACGATTCATACCGCTTTCGCCAAATCCAACGGCTTTTCTGGTATGAGCGGAGAATCAGATTACTTTTCCTGAGATAACTATCATTCGTGCACTCTCTAGTCGACAACGGATTTCTGCTAAGAACTCCATTTCTTTAACAGGACTGAAATAAAATTCTAGTCTGACGCCAAAATTTGTACCTTCGTTAACAGCTCAACATCAGAATGTTTTAGCCCGTGGGAATAAGCCCCCTTATGTAGTTGAATGCAGTGCTATTTTAGTTTTGTTCTTGTTCATATTGCAAAGAATGTTTTCTGTGAAGAGAGACAAATAAAATAAAAAGATGGTTTATCGAGTAGCAGTGTAGTCAACAATAAATTGTATCTTTAACAATTACTTAGGTCAATCCAAAAGTTCTGTTGGAGAGACCTTATTTTCGAATTGTAAGCTCAAAGAAGTTTTCTTTTTTTATACAATGATAGAAAAAACGATGCTCTATTTTTCTATGCTATTTCATCACTATTCAACTAATATCATAATAATAAAATTCCGACAAAATGCCGTTTGTCATGATATGTGACGGTTATATGAATGCTCATATTTTTTGAATAACTTTTGATAGCAACAAGATAGAAAACTGTGGTTTTCAGCATTGGAAAGAGGAGATGAAGACGCATCAAATCGTATATTATAGATCTTTCTGACCTGGTTTTTTTGTAAGGTCTTCAATTGGCTTTTTAAAGAACAAATCCATCTCGTGAGTTATTTACAGTGAATTTTCAATAATCATGTGTACGTTTAAACCGATAATCGAAGATCTACAAGCTGTGAAAGATTCAGACTTTTAAATTTAATTATTCAGGAATAATATGTATTCTAGTCGAACCTTTGATACAATTTTCTATCAACTTTTTTGGTGTTTCTTTTCATAAAAAAAAAGCATTTTTCCGGCGGTTAGAAAATTGAATAAAAATACTTCAGAAATCATATTAGAAAAATCTATGATATACCATTTGATGCATGTTCATTTTCTCTTTCCAATGGTGAAAACTATAGTTCTCTATTCTGTTTCTATCAAAAGTTATTCGAAAAATACTCACGAGCGTTCATTTTACCATCTCAGATGCGAACGAACTAGATCCTATCGGAATTTTATTATTATAATATTTAGTTAAATAGTGATGAAATAACATAGAAAAATAAAGCATCGTTGTCTCCATCATTCCATACAAAAAGAAAACTTCTTTGAGCTTACTATTCGGAAATAAGATATCTCCGACAGAACTTTTGGATTGACCTAAGTATTTTTTCTCTGAAAATAGTTTTGGGTGCTTTTGTAAAATTCTGACAGAGAGAAATGGCTGCTGATGGAATCGAAAAATTCTGTTTGAGTTCAGCTGTTTTTGCGTCAGAATTATGCAGATATTGAATAAATTTCATGACAAGTTTACTGTTGCGTGCTAGATGAGAATTGTTTAATCTCGCTGAAGAGTATTCTAGCCAGCCTTTTCAAAATTTGATATTGTTCTATTTTGTGAATGAAATAAATAAATAAGGATTGGTTAAAGATTCTAACGAGTATTTTTTTCTCGTCATCTCTTCACTGGAGATGTACATTCATCGTTAGCTGAAAAGTTTGTCCCGTATTTTTTGGAATGTTTATAGGTCTCCTGTTTGCCCAACCAGTTTCTCTTAAGAATGCAGTCATCTTTACATTGAAATACACGTATGAAATCGCCTTGACGTTTTTTAAAATGCAAGATATCTTTCCTTTTAAAAGGAGCTGTGAGTATTCAGTCTTACTCCATCAAACACTTGCATGTCTGAGACACTACAATACTCTTTTCACAGCAAAAAACGAGACCCTCCTTTCCTCCTCCTTTACTGAGAGCAATCCTCCAAAAAGTTTTTTCGTAAATCCTCCTTTTTCTCAAACGGTCGTTCACATACCAGATCATATAATAAAATGATCTTTTTTACGACATGAATAACACAAACTGAACTGAACGTAGTATCGTAGCATAATAGTATTACTCTGTCATACTAAAATACAGACCAGCATTATATACATATATTGGTCTTTGATAGTGCTAGAATATCATTTTTATCACAATCTGCATATATACTCTAACAAAAAAAACTATGCATTAACGCCATAAAAAAATGTATTAATGCTCATGATGCCAGTCAGCGCCACGATTTTAGAGCAAGCAACTCTACTAGATTTACAATCCATACTAAATTTATTACTAATCTATAGTTATTTTTCAACAATTGCTGTTCTGTCAATCTAATTCAATTACCTTCGTTCTTAAATTTTTACTTATGTTTATTTAAGATCGATATAGAAAATGGAATGTACCGAAATTATCGTATATAAAAACGTACCCTAGATATTTGTTTACAAAAATTGAGCCACTTTTCTCAGAAAAAGAAATGGATCGGTAATCACCATATAAAATTAGTCGAGGTGTAATTGTCGTTGAATTATGACAGGATTCAGAGGAATAACTAAACCGTCGATTTCCGTAGGATTCAATAAATAAATGATCCATACATCAAATTTTGAACAGTTTGAATAAAAATAACGGTACTAAAGAGTTTGTTGATCGAAACATTATAGGCCAAAATGCATATATCGCTACGGCAATGTCAAGATTGTTGGAAAGTGTTTTGGCAGCAATCTTTCTGAAAAGCAATCTGACTTGATTATGAGTGTTGTATCTTTTTATTTTTATTTGATTTTTTTTATCATAGTATCATAATCTCATAGTTTCATGGATATGTTTTACATACCGGATCTCACGTAGTTGGATGTAATCATGTAACATGTATTTTCACTAACTATATGTTTCAGATATTATAAAGACTTGTATTACATCTGTATTGTTGCAAAACATGGTATATACAGCAGAAGAAACAAAACGTTCTCGTTCTACAATTTCCTATATACCGAGGCCATTGGATTTACCAACTTTGACTGTCAAGCAATCAACACCATCGCCAAAATCAAAAATGACTTCTAGAGAGGAAGAAGAATATTTTATAAAGAACAATTATGTCGCTCGAACGTTATTGAATGAACCAGGACTGCCACCTCTAACTTGGTCGAACTGGTACAAACAAGTCGATTGGCCAAAGACAATAGTAATCGGTACTGAACCTTTCATCGCTCTTTATGGCATTTGTACTACGTCCTTCGTTTGGCAGACGCTTGGATTTGCCTTCATATGGGGCTGGCTCACAGGATTTGGCGTCACTGCCGGTTATCATCGTCTCTTCGCTCATCGATCTTACGAGGCAGTTCTGCCACTGCGCTACATATTACTCATGTTGGCTGCTGGTTCTGTTCAAGGATCTGCACTATGGTGGACACGTGATCATAGAGCACATCATCGATATACGGATACCGATCTCGATCCATACGGCGCTCACAAAGGTCTTTTTCATTCCCATATCGGATGGTTATTGATGAAACCACGTCGAAAACCTGGTTTCGTGGACATGTCTGATCTGAATCATGACACTAGTGTTCAATGGCAGTATAGAAACCTTCTCATTTTGAATGTGATCATGGGTTTCGTGTTGCCATGTCTTGTGTGTGGACTTGGATGGGGTGACTATCGTGGTGGGTACTTTTATGCTGCTGTACTTCGTCTAGTGATTCTTCATCATGCAACATTCTGTGTCAATTCACTAGCACACTATTTAGGTGATACACCTTACGACGACAAGCACACTCCTCGAGATCATTTTATTACGGCTTTTGTTACGCTCGGCGAAGGTTATCATAATTTTCATCATGAGTTTCCATGCGACTATCGTAATGGACGTGAATGGTTCCAGTACGATCCTACAAAGTGGACAATCTGGATTTTTCAAAAACTCGGCCTAGCTTACAATCTGAAGAAGTTTTCCGAGAATGAAATTCTAAAAGGGCGCTATGCTATGAAGCGCAAAGCTTTGGACAAATTTGCCGAAAATATAATTTGGCCTAAAGACGACACGCAGTTGCCCATAATTTCATTCGAAGAATATCAAGAGTTAGCCACCAAAGATACCAGTCGTGAACTCGTTCTGATCGCTGGTTTCGTTCATGATGTCAGCAATTTTATTGACTCTCATCCAGGCGGACGCGATTTGCTCAAGCATCAGGTAGGCAAAGATGCCACTGTGCCATTTCATGGTGGTGTACAAGATCATAGCACCGCGGCACATAATATGCTCGCCATGATGCGAATCGCTGTTTGTAAGCATGACGACAAGGTGGAATACCTGAAGAAACGACTCGGACATTTTCATACGCCAACTCCTGTTTCAGCTTAGCTATTTCATTCTTTTGAGGCTGGGCATGTATTTTGTAAATAGTTCTATTTAATGTCAATCATAAACAAGCGTAAATATTAAGTGTTGTATTTAGAAAAGCTACGCTAACTAATATTTCCCTAATAAAATGGTTGATACGTTACCCATCCACGGATGAGGTAATGAAGTTCAAAATGACAATTATCTATTGAAGAGTATGGGTATTGATCAGAGTTCCCATTAGGAAGGATGAGAGGGGCTTCTCTCCTAAGATGTTCGACTTTCTGCGAAACCTCTTAGTACCTTCTGCCAATTTTTTATAACTTCGTAGTGACTTTGGACAGAAACCGGATTTTGAAATACCATTTGCCTTTCTCTGGCAGAAAGCGAAATAAAAATAAGCAGACAATATCGTTACTATGTGAATAGGATTGGTGAGACCCAGGAACGATCGGCCTGAGAGTAGGTCGTCTGTTGTGCGAGGGACTTGATCACAATCGGCTTCGTTCTTTCTCCTGCTCTCCTCCCATACCTCTAGGAAATATCGACAATCGTGATTTGGACGTACTTGGGTCATGCTGAAGCGATCTACATTTTTTCCTTATAAAAAACTTAAACAAACTTTTCTCTATACAGGGTGTTTCATAAGTTTTGAGGCTTGACAAAAATTAGTTCTCATGCAAACACAAAATAATCTCGAACCGAATGTTTTCATATGAGGTTTGAGTGCTCGTGACACTCTTTCAAATGGCGTATTATTGGATGCTATATTCTCTTATAATAATAAAAATATAAACATGAGAAAGTGATGAAAAATTTTTTGAAATCGATCAATAAGGGTGTGGGTGTGGGTGTGGGTCGGTGGGTGTGGGTGTGGGTGGGTGTCGGTGTGGGTGTGGGGTGGGTGTGGGTGTGGGGTGTGGATGTGGGTGTGGGTGTGGGTGGGTGTGAGTGTGAAGAGAGTTAACGCACACACTCATTCCCACCCGCTCCTCACTCTCACCCACACCCCACTCTCACATCCATACCCACAACCCACCCGCACTCATACCCCACACCCACACACACCCATATCCACACACCTCACCCGCATCCACATATCCCACCCATAT